GTTGCTTATCTGCATAAAATTAATAATAATAAGAGTAGATTCAGGCATATATTGGTAGTAACTTCGAGCAAGAAGCTTTAAAAAGCAATTTATTTGCTGTAAGAATGGATGAAGGATTTTCGGGTGTGAGTATTTTCCATTTAAATGAAAATGTCAGTTATTGGAATAAATAACGTTATCTATTCTATCTGTTGAAATTCATTCAAATGATAAACAAAGTTTGAATAATCAAAAACCAAAAAATTGATTTCTGTGCATAACTTTTCTCTTTTGTTGTACATATGATAAATTTTATTTTTTCTTGGACTTGCAAATTTAATGAATTTCATTTAATGTATTCTAAAGAAATGTTGAATGAAGTCTTTTTTGATCAGTATTCTATAATAGATTCTTTTTTTAGTTAGGTGAACTTGGTACTTTAGATGATACAATTGATTGTAGTGAAGATAAAGAGTGGGATACTCAGATCGATATTGAAGATATTAACAATGTTTTGCGTGAAGTAAGTCGTCTTTCAAAACTCGATTTATAGATATTCTATTTTTATTGCAAAATTTCATGCTTTATTTTTTAAACAATAATTTCTTTTTACATACAAATTGATGCTAAGTCATTCAAAGAATTCAGTGGAAATTGCTTGAATGCAATAAAATTAAAGATATTTTTGTTTCATTCTGTTTATGGTAGGTTATTTTTGATGTAAAATTTTTTTTAAACTTATAATAGGTTTAGAATTTTATTTATTACAGTGTTTTTTTTTGTTGTATTTATTGAAAAGTAAGATGAAATAATTTTTGATTACATTATGAGATTTAATTAGCAATGATAATTAGGATTTTTACACAATATATGTTATGCTTTCAACTCAGTCTTGCTTTGTTTGAATTGGTATTTTGAATATGCTAGAATTTTTGCATTTTGTGTTAAAAGATTCCATACAAGTGCTTTTCAGAATTCTGCGGAAAACAGTAAGCTTTAATGATTACTTTAGTTTCTGAATAAGCGAATCTGAAAAGTAGTTAGTCAGCATAACAAAAAAGTAAACATAGACTTCTTTTTTAGCAAAGAGCCAAGCAAAGACAAGAGCGACGCTTAGCAAGGCAAATGGAACATGCAAAGCGACTTGAGCAGAGGAAAAAATGAACAATTTCCATTAGTATGTTGTCTTGCTTGATTGGCATTATTGTTAAAAATTTTAGTTAAATTTGTTTATAAATTTCAAGATTGAGAATAGAAAAATAAAATATACTTGCAGAAAATTATTTTATCTATTTTTTCATTCTATTAAAATTTTTTACTTAATAAAGTTTTATACTCTGTTAGATCACTGTTGTTCAAATATAGCTAATTTTAATTTAAATTTTAATTGTCATTTTGCTAGTTTTGAAAAATTTCACTCCTTATATTGTTGTTAAGTAATTATTTTTCACTTTTAATTCCGCAATCTTGTTAAATATTAATTATAGTTGTGAGTAATTAATTTGTTTATTGAAAGCATTTATTATTTTTTTCTATGCAACTAAAAATTATTCTTAGCTGTTTTTCATTTAGTATAAATAACGAATAATAATTTGCTGCAGGGTATGAATGAGAACACATGGCGTTTTTTCTTTAGATTCTACAGGTGGTTGATAAGAACTTTTTGGAACTTTGAAACATATCACATCTTGCATTGATATATATGATCATGTAAACGCATAAAATTGTTATTTTTTACTTTATTCTAAAGTTGATCCAAAACAAAAATGTCGTAGTTCGTGTATTGTTTAACTAGAGTTAGTGATAAATCATAAAATAAATAACGAATTTCGTCAAGTCACTGATAGATAAAACTCAATAAGATATTTTACTACGGTAATTTCATTCCTTCAATTTTTCAAAATTTTTTCCTAAACTCTTTGATGAGATTGCAAATTGTAATGTATTATTGTATTAGAGGTAAATGTGCTTACAGATGTATACATGGTGCTGAAGTAGTTTACAGATTCTACTCTTAATTTATTAAAAAATTGAACAGTAGAATCTATAAATTATTCCAGCATCCATCATTAATGTATTAAAAAATTGGTAATAGCACGAATATTTTTCTCGGTCTGATGCATTTTTGAAATTACAAAAATATTAGAAAATGTCTAAAGTAATTGTTGACGTTTTTTAGATGAGAAATATTTGAAATTTTTTTCATCCACAATGAAAGTTGTTGATTGTAAGGGTATGATGAGAAAAGATAACATTTATAGTAGCAAAAAGCAACATTTTTCATTTTTTTTCAAATTAACTTTGGTGTGAAAAGTAATCCTTTCTATATGATTGAGTTTGGCAATGTAATTTGCTGCTGTGAGAGAAGCACCTAAATTACTACGTTAAACTTGTAAGATTTAATTTTTTATAAGTCTAAAAAGTGAATATTTTAAATGAAATTTTTGAAAGATGCACTTTTTTGCAAAATTTTGCAATATAATCAAATATCATTGCTATAAGTTGTAAAAAAGTTTGAGTAAGGGAAGGAAGGAAGGTTGGTAATTCCTTAAAAAATGCAGTCGTCAACGAGTAAACATTGACGTAGAGAGGAGGATGAAGACGAAGACGAAGACGAGGACGAGGACGAGAACGAGGACGAGGACGAGTATGGAGCAATCACAACGAGTCTCCATATCACTTTACTTTAAATAAAATAAAAAGCAACACACATTTATATATTTTGCTAAGCAAGAAGAAGGCAAGTTTTATAGTAAGATTAAGCAAGTTTGATTAATTTTTATAATTTTTAATTGTTGTAACTTTAAGGAAAATACTTTTCTAGTTATTAATAAATATTTTTAAGCGCAAAGTATATCAGATGATAATTTTAGGATAAAAAAGAATGAAAACTAGCAGAAATTGATTTAATTATAAATGAACAAGTGGGACTCATTCATCTTAAGTATAACTAATGCTTGATGAAGTAAAGAGTCTAGAGTTTAAGATCTAGAGAGTAAGCTAGAAGTAAGGGTTTAGCTAGACGTGTACAAAATATATATTTTTATATACTGCTCAAATGTTTGATCAAACTGCTTTGACCTAAGTATGGCCCAGTTAACTTATTTACTATTGCCTCTACTCTCTCAATCCTTTCAACATTAGCTATAATTTTTTGCTATCCATGTGCTATTTGAATAGCATAAAAAAGCTTTAGGCTATTCTAGGCCTATCTTTCTACTCTCATTCCGTGTCATGCACATAAATTGCAATGCTCATTAAGGCCTTTTTTTTTTAATATATATTTTAATGCTTATCGGTTTAAAATTTATCACTAAATAAACTTGGGTATGTGATATGTGATTACATTGTTAAATTATATCAAAGCTTAATCGAGTCATATCATACTTGCAATTTTTGCTCATCTCTTCTAGATCATTTGTAGATCATTGCTATTTTGTTTGATCTTATTTCCCTCTCAATAATTTCATATATATACATCATTGAATCAAATATATATAACCAAACATTTCAAATGAATCGAATATGGATATATATATATAGAGAAATTCTTTTAATTTTCGTAGCTTAAATAAAATAAAAGTTTAGCTGAACTACTTGCACTTTTTCTCGAGGCTCTTGA